TGTCCTAGGACTCTGGCCATCCTGCCTGTGTTAGTAAACGGAGGAAGATGCGGTGAGCTGCCTCTCCACTATTGCCTACAGAATGATCCTGTCCCATAGGCTACGCCCTGCATGCCACTGAAAAAGCCAAAACCATGTAGAGAAATGAAATAATATCCCCAAGGTCCCAAAGCCAGTGAGTACAGAGCCAGCGATCCAAACTCCAGCCCTTCTGAGGCATACACCCTCCCTGCAGACTACCCTGCATCTTCTCATTCTGTCCTGGGACCAACAGAAGTCTCATGTTTTCTTTAAAGTGCTACCTTTGTGTAGTTTTTAAAAAATAAATCAGTCCGTTAAAAAAAAAAACAAACTCACATTTGAACATTCTAACACAGTAATGCTAACATACAAGACACATCGCCTTTACAAAACTTCTTCATCAAAACTACTCTTTCTCTGGGACGCCTGGTAGCTCAGTCAGTTAAGCGTCTGCTTTCAGCTCAGGTTATGCATGATCCCAGGGTCCTGGGATCAAGTCCCACATCGGGTTCTTTGCTCAGCGGGAAGCCTGCTTCTCCCTCTGCCTGTCGCTCTTCCTGCTTGTGTGTTCTCTCTCTCTCTCTGACAAATAAATAAAATCTTAAAAAAAAACCCCACTCTTTCTCTGATTCATATTATTATGAAGCACCCCTAAGGATGGAAGGGCACCTGGGTGGCTCAGTCAGTTGAGCGTCTGACTCTTGATTCCAGCCCAGGTCATGATCTCAGGGTTGTGGGACTGAGCCCCACGTCGGGCTCCAAGCTCAGCAGGGAGCCAGCTTCAGGAGTCTCTCCCTCTCCCTCCACTCTGTCCCCCCCCCTCCCCACTCATGGTCTCTCTCTCAAATGAATAAATAAATTTAAAAAAAACAAAAACCAGGGGCACCTGGGTGGCTCAGTCAGTTGGGCATCTGCCTTCGGCTCGGGTCATGACCTTGGGATCCTGAGATCCAGCCTGGTGTCAGGCTCCCTGCTCCGTGTGGAGTCTGCTTCTCCCTCTCCCTCTGTCTCTCCCCCTGCATGTGCTGTCTCTGTCTCAAGTAAATAAATAAAATCTTTAAAAAAAAACAAAAACAAAACAAAACCCAAAAAACTAAGCGTGGGAAAATATTAATTGCTTCAGGGGTACATTTGCCTGCATGTTCCCAAGAGTCTCCTTTTCTCCTCTTCTGTTCCCAGATTTTCTCTCCATTTCTGTTTCTAGAGGTTTTCTTTTGAACACTGTCAAGATTTTGAAGGAATCCATTCACCTTCAATCTTTCCCTCCCACAGCTTCACTACATGGTCTTCCATCTTTGGGCCCCGAAGAAGTAGTCACAGACTGAAAAGTATGGCTCCTTCCCACTGTCCATTCCACAGCATCCTCAAATTTTACTAAACCGAAGGAGGAAATGTTTACATCCCTCCTTGTCTGTTCCCTGCAGTGACCTTACATCGAGAACACCATGATCCCAGTGTCCTGGGATCGAGTCCCGCATCAGACTCCCTGCTAACAGGGAGCCTGCTTCTCCCTCTGCCTGCCACTCCCCCTGCTTGTGCCTGCGCTTTCGCTCTCTCTGACAAATAAATAAATAAAATCTTAAAAAGAGAGAGAGAACATAATTCATTTTTAATTACTTAAAAAAATTAGTAAACAATTCAAAAGGGGCAAAAGGGTGTACCTTCCTGCCCTGGTGACCCAGGTTCCTACACACACAGCTACCTGTCACCTATTTCTTGCAGCTCATGGACTGTAGATATCATTTGCCAATTCAAACAAGAAAGGTCTGGGTAAATGGTTTACTTTGTCCTGTGGCTTGGAGCTCCTAAAAAGAAAATCCACCCATTCAGCTCTGCAAACTTGCATCGCTGCTCTCCCTTCAGTCTCCACTGAAATGACACTTCTTCCTGGACGCCTTTCCTGTCCCTCCCCAGCCTATATCAGGTCCCCCTGAATGCCTAGGACACCAGGCACCTGCCCCATTGCCCGTCCTGTGTATGGACCAGACTGTAAGTAGCCTGTGTGTCTGCTTCTTACCTCTGGGCAGGGACCAACACAGTCCTGCGTTCAGGATCTATTTGTTGAAACAAAGTTATTATCTGAATACCTATATATATTCTGAATGATGCACTAAATCCTGGGAATGGAAAGGTAAATAAAGCAAAATACCGACCCTAAACTTCCTGGCATCTTCATTTCACTTACAAAAAAAAAAAAAAAAAAAGGGCAGAGAGAGAAAGATCCGCTTCTATTAACTTGACTCTGGATGGACGTTCACTTGGCAACACAAACAGTGTTTCTCATTTGAATCATCGGTGCTTCCTCTTAGTGTTAACAGGTGTGCTACAGTCTCCCTTTATTGCCAAAACGTGGCCTACGACTTCCATTAGCCTGCATCGGCCCAAGTGGCAAAGGCTGAAGACTTCACCTCGTGTTGTTATTTTTCTCCAGAGTCGCGTGCAATTTACAGACGACATCTGGAAATACACTTGGAAGCAGCAGCATGCGTTAGCGCTTTCAGGTGTCAGGGCAGGAAAGTGGTAAAAAGGTTCCGCAAAGGGCCGTCAGGGTCCTTCGCCCTCCGCCAGACCTTGGGCAGGCCGGAGAACAGCTTGGAGCCTCTCCTATGGCACAGGGACCAAGGGGGACCTTAGTGGGTCTCCCCACGCTGGCAGCCCAGGGTTTGCGAAAGCCTTAACTGAGTTCCCGCGTGCAAATGTCCCGTGTGCCGTCTGACACGCTGAGAGGGCTCAGTGCTACCCGGCGCAGCAGCAGTTCCTGTTCGATGAAGACAGCTTGGATGCTCATCACTTTTAAGTTACTTCAAAACTTTAAAGCTAGGAGCAGCTGGGTGGCTCAGTGGGTCCTGAGATCGAGCCCCACCCAGTTCTGTCTGTCTGCTTCCCCCTCCCCCTCTCTCTGCCTGCCTCTAACACACACACACACACACACACACACACACGCACAACTTTAAATCTATCTTAACCATAAAATCTCACCTAGGTAAAATGGAGTACATGTTCCGGGCAGTGGCCTTGAGTCAAAATCACCTTGTCTGGACAGAATTTTTCTCATGCCCAAAATGATGAGGTTGGGCTAGAAAGTGTACAGACGCTCAAGAGACAAAAGAAGCACATGTGATGGGTGACCTGGACTGAGTGGATTCTTGTTTATTTAAAAAAAAAAAAAAAAAAAAAAGAACCAACTGAACAAACAGCTAAAACGATTCTTGGCATTGCTGATAAGACGGCTCATTAGACATTGTGGAATTACTACTGGTTTTCTTAGGTAGGGCGGTGGTTTTGTGGGCATGTAGGAGAATGTTGTTACTCATGCGAAATGCGTACTGAAGTATCATGATGTCAGCAAATGTTTCAGGAAAAGAATATCTGAGTGGGGGTGTGTGCGTGTGCGTGCACCCATGTGTGTACAGAGAGAGAATGAGAGAAAGAAAGAGAGCAAATAGATTGTTTTTTAAAAAACGATCTTTGGGCAAGATGGGATCCAGAGGGAGACAAACCGTAAGAGACTCTTAATCTCACAAAACAAACTGAGGGTTGCTGGGGGGAGAGGAGGTAGGGATAGGGTGGCTGGGTTGTGGAAATTGGGGAGGGTATGTGATATGGTGAGTGCTGTGAAGTGTGTAAACCTGGCGATTCACGGACTTGTACCCCTGGGGCAAATAATATGTTATATGTTAATTAAAAATAATTAATAAAAAAATTATCTTTGGGGGTGCCTGGGTGGCTCAGTCGGTTAAGCATCTGCCTTCAGCTCAGGTCATGACCCTGGGGTCCTGGGATCAAGCCCCATCCAGGTCTGTCTGTCTGGTCTCCTGCTTCTCCTTCTCCCTCTGGTCCTCCCCCTGCTCATGCTCTCGTGCTCTCTCTCTCTCTCTCTCTCTCTCGGATAAATAAAGTCTTTTAAAAAAAAAATTATCTCTGACTTCCTTTTTGGCTATCATTTCAAATTTCCAAGAATGCATCAAAACCCTATGACCAAATACTGAAAATTATTATTTTTTAAATCAACAGCAAGTCTAGCTAAACGACGACAAACCACATTCTTTATCTTCTTTCTTACCTTTCAAGCTCTAATTTCAGCCTTTAAAATCTAAATATTCTGTCCCATCTGCTTCCTCTTAAGAGAGCCTCAAAACTTGAGCATACTAAACATTGTATCTTTACAAAATTCTTTTCATCAGTTCTTATTTATCTTAATTTTTATCCACATTGTGACTCCCTTCCCTCCCCTCAATGGGCCTTCCTGCTTGAGGCTTTGATTAGGACCTGCCTTGCCTTCTGCTTTAGATTTCATTCTTTCCTGTGTTTGTCTCCATTTGATTTTTCACACCCATCATTTGCATAAATTTCCCTCTTTCTTCCTTGTTGTCAATATTTTCCTGTTGATGGGACTCCGGTTCTGTGTAGTAGCTCAGCTCTCTGATTTGCCCTGCCTACACCCCGCTTAACTACCTCTCCCTTTTTTTCATTATCTCCCACAGCCTGGACCTCTCCGTCTCCCTTTGTTCATGCAGCTCTCCGAACGCCTTCTCTCATCAGGCATGGTTTTATGTAAAACGGAAGTGTGTGCGTGTGCACGCATTTATGTACAGGTGCATATGATTACACGTACAGTGTAAACATGTATGCACGTGCACATACAGCACTGACACATTTCGAACACACCCAAAAATGGAAAGGCCATGGCAGAGGAATTTTCATTCCAAGAGTGGGAACATGGAGCCCGCCTGCAAACCGTCCTCCACGGTCCTCTCCAGCCTCGACTTTTTTTTTTTTTTTTTCCTCCTAGGAGCTCAGTTGGTGTTTAAAGGGCTTTGGGAGAAGCAACCTGCTTACCTAAGGTTGCCCGCCTTCCCGCACCCCGCACGCACCTCCTGAGGGGCGGCCCCTCCACCCACCCCTCTCCCTCCGCCTATGCCCCGCCTCGCCCGCCCGCCCCACCCCCGGCCACTCCCAGGGCTTCCTGTCGTTTCACCTCTCTGGTTCACAAAACCCTTCAGCGATAATCCTCTTTTATTTTCCTGAACTTCTGAACTCCTCCAGAGTCTTTTCCCTCCGGTCTTTGGCAATCGGCCTTGGATTCCTTTATCTGCCCTTGGCCCGGCTGAAACTTCTGCCCACGGAGAGTAAGAACGACCAGTTTTCACGGATTCTGCTTCTGACCACAAGGACTAGCCACGCTGCATTTTTCTTTTCCCCCTTTTTTTCTCCTTCCTTTTTAGCTGACCAAACTTTTCCTATTCGTGTGTGTATACTCCTGGTCCAGGGTTCTTTTCTCCCTCTTTGCACTGAGGTCTCCGTGGCGGGAGCCACCTGCGGGTGGCGGGTTTGGGCCCAGGGGTGGGGGTGGGGGGCGGAGGGACCCCTACCCCGGCCTCTTCTAGTGTGACCCTGGGCCAAGGACCTCCTGCCGCCTGCACAGCTAGCCTGGTTAGTGGCAGGCTCTCCAGTAACGCGTCACCTTGCTCTGCTCTCAAACGAGGAAGGATGGTTCCACCATCCGCCTGCCCCGTCGTGCTGCCGGGTCCTGGACCCACAACCCCGGTTTGGCTCCTACTTTTCCTGGCTAGCATTATAGCGGCTTGTGAGTCACCGCAACCTTTTATAACCAAGTTATTTCTCATTTAAGACTTAAAAGCAGTTTGTTTCTTGTCATGCCTGGTGTGGTGAAATTGAAAAATTAAATCAGAGGCTCCTAGTGTGATCCCTAAATATTTCTTTCAAGTTTTCTTATGTGAGTGGAGTTGACACACAATGTTACATTCATTTTGGGTGAATAGAGTAGTGATTCATCTTCTCTCTAGGATACCCAACTATTTTTTTTTTTTAAAGATGTGTCATGGTATTGTCTTTCTCCGGAGGCTTAATAACACTTATTCTGGGAAACTAAATTTCACCAACATGTCTTTGGGGATTACAGTCAAGAGACTTCGTAATATACATTCTCTAAACAAAGTTCCTGGGTTGGAATATTTTTCTGATGAGAAGCATCCTTTCTAGATGACTGGGTGGTCAATTCTTTTCAAATCAGTCAACAGTTTGGGTTAAGTCCCTTTTACCTTTGGGGAGCTTCCTTTTTTCTTACAGAAAATGAAAGAAACTAACAACATTACCACTTTGTGCCTTTTGACACATTTCAGCAAACTTCTCAGCAAACACGTTTTCCATGCCCCACCTTACCATCTGACTGTTTCTACTCCCTTTTCTATTCTGAGTCTGACTACAACTTCTGAGAAGAAAGCTGTTCTCTGCTAATTCCTGTTAAAATGTCTTCAGCCAATCAGTCAACAGCTACTTACTAAACAATTCTAAGGGACAGCCGTCACAAAAATAGCTTTGGCAAATTCCTACAGTGCCGAGGCATTGAATCAAGCGGTGAGGAGGCACCCTCACCTCCACCGGCAAAAGTCAGAGGCCCCCTCAGGGTCATCTACCCAAGTTGTAGGATGCATGGTATGTAGGAGGAAAAACCTTTCCTCTACCCTCTTAACTTCTTAAAGCTAGGGCTTGCAAATTAAATAACAAAAGCTATATTAACAGAAGAAAAGGCACACAATATTTATTAATATTCACAGAAAGAAGTGAAACTCAAAGAGGTAGTTAGACTTGGAGGCTTATACACCATTTTATTATTTATTTATATATTTTTAAAGATTATATTCACTGGGTTGCCTGGGTGGCTCAGTGGGTTAAGCCTCTGCCTTCAGCTCAGGTCATGATCCCAGGGTCCTGGGATCCAGCCCCATATCACGCTCCCTGCTCAGCGGGGAGCCTGCTTCCCCCTCTCTCTCTGCCTGCCTCTCTGCCTACTTGTGATCTGTCTGTCAAATAAATAAATCACATTTTTGAAAAAAAAGAAAAAATAATAAAGATTATATTTGTTTATTTGACACAGAGCGTGAGAGAGAACAAGCAGGGGTTCCATCAGAGGGAGAGGGAGAAGCAGACTCTCCTCTGAGCAGGGAGACTGATGTGGGGCTTGATCCCAACACCCTGGGATCATAATCTGAGCCAAAGGCAGACCCTTAACCGACTGAGCCACCCAGGTGCCCCATTATATACCATTTTAACAAAGGAAAGGGGTTTTGGGCTTCAAGGGATAATAAATTGTAAGGAAGTGACTATGAATGTTATTTTAGTAACATCTGTTTATGCAGACTCATCTCTGTGCTGACTCTGTCTCCAGTGATAAGTTGCTCTCCTTTTCCTGGTACAAGAGAGGACACTGTCACAAAAGGAAATTGATGCCCTGCTTTTCGGCAGATAAGGGGAGGCCAGAGAACTCTGCCTGCATCTGTTGATCCTCAATTGCCTTCAGCTCAAAATAATCCTTCTGCCAAAGTAGCACATTTTGGAGTGCCACACCCTGATCTTCTCCAATGGCCTCAATGGCCACTGGAGTGTGCAACCAAGGCTGACATTTTCTCCTGGCACCTTACAGTGGGAAGTGTTTTGGGTTTTTTTTTTAATTGAAGAATAATTAACATGTAATATTAAATTAGTCTCAAGTGTACAACATAGTGGCTCAACAATTACACACATTATAAAATGCTTGGCACAATAGTGTATCATGCCATCAGCGTGGTTAGTATGAAAAAGACAAGAAATGACAAGTGTTGGAGAGGATGTCGAGAAAAGGGAACCTTTGTGCGCTGTTGCTGGGAATGTAAACTGGTGCAGTCATCATGATCGACAGTGTGACGTTTCCTCAAAAAAATTAAAGATGGGGCACTTGGCTGGCTCAGTTGTTAAGTGTCTGCCTATCAGTTCAGGTCCCGATCCCCAGGCTCCTGGGATGGAGCCCTGCATCGGGCTCCCTGATCCGCAGGAAGCCTGCTTCTCCCTCTCCCACTCCCCCTGCTTGTGTCCCTCTCTCGCTATCTCTCTCTCTGTCAAATAAATACATAAAATCTTTAAAAGAAACAAGCAAACAAACAAACAAAACTAAACATTGCTTGTGTGCCTCCCTGGCTCTGTTGTGGGACTCTTGATCTTGGAGTTGTGAGTTCAAGCCCCACAGTGGGGGTAGAGCTAAACAAATAAATAAATAAATAAATGGAGCTTTAAGGGGGAAAAAAAATCCTAAACATAGAGGTACCATCCTATCCAGTAATTTCCCTGCTGGGCGTCTACCTCAAGAAAATGAAAACACTTATTCAGAAAGATATATGCATGGTTTACTGCAGCATTATTTACAATGGCCAAGATATGGAAGCAACCCAAGTGTCCATCAAGAGATAGATGGATAAAGAAGATGTGATATTGATATATATATATATATATATATATATATAATGGACTATCACTCAGGCATAAAAAAGAAGAAAATCTTGCCATTTGCAACAACATGGATAGAACTACACGGTATTATGCTACATGAAATAAGCCAAAGAAAGACAAATAACCTTTGATTTCACTTATAAGTGGGAAGTTCTTTTTGATTATCATTTGCATTTTTCAGTTGAGTAAACTGTGGCTTTGAGAGATTCATCCTTTTCCTTCTCTGATCTCACCTCCCAAGGACTCAATTCGACCACCTCCTGTAGTTCTAAATCACAGCTTTCTTCCCTGCCTACTTCATTCGTGTAGCTGCCACCACTTTAAAAAAAAAAAAAAAAATCGGCTCTGCTCCTTCCCTTTTAGTGAGGACCCCTTGGTTTCTCCCACTATCCCTTAGAAAGAATAAAAGACACTGAAGAAGAGGGGTGCCTGGGTGGCTCTGTCGGTTAAGTGTCTGCCTTTGGCTCAGGGCATGATCTCTAGGTCCTGGGATGGAGACCAGTGTCACGTTCCCCGCTGAGCGGGGAGCCTGCTTCTCCCTCTGCCTCTGCCCCTCCCCACCGCTCATGTTTGTACTCTCTCTGTCTCAAATAAATAAATAAAATATTTAAGAAGGAAGGAAGGAAAAGAAAAGAAGAGAAAAGAAAAGAGAAAAAGAAAACTGAAGAAAGAAAGAAAGAAAGAAAGAAAGAAAGAAAGAAAGAAAGAAAGAAAGAAACCAAAGAAGAAACCCACAGGTAACTCAACTCTTGCAGTCAGCATCTAGAACCCATACCATTGGCTCTCCAGATGTCCATGTCCGGGAGTCAGCCAGCTTTTGTGACCACCGCCTGTGTGAGATCTCAAGTGTCCCTCGAAACCTAAACCCCATCCTCACTGCCCCTGGTAACCTCATATATACTGGAGGTTTCCCCCAAATGTCTCTAGATACAGAAATGTGAGCCCTTCTGGGCAGTAAACTGAGGACCCACAGAATCACATTTTTTAGAGTTGGAATAGCCCCAGGGCGAAGTATTTTTTCCCACCGTGACTACAGGCTGCGGGGGTGTTTTTACGGGTGGGAACGGTAGGTAGGTTGACCGTTCACAACAGGGTACATGACACACTTTGAACAGGAATCAAATCCATTCAGAGGCTTTAAGCATATTTATCTATTTTCTTCTACCAATAATCCCTGTTAACACCCAGATGTCATGATGTTATTTGAGTGGAATTAAATTGGAACGGCTCACATTATCTGATTAATTAGAGTCGGCTTTGACTACAGTGACTAATAGGTCCAATCCCGTTAGTGCAACATTCTGCCTGGCAGGCTGTGGTTACATAACACAGCAAAGGACTGGTAGAGACGGTTGGTCTATCCATTTCTGGATAGTAAGGAATTAATTTTCCTTAAAAAATATTAGCGGGGCAACTCAACAGAATATTATTCAGCCATGAGAAGGAATAAAGAACTGACACAACCCGCCCCACATCACGCTAAGTGGAAAGAAGTCAGATACAAAAGGTCCCATACTGTATGACTCCGTTTATAGGAAATGTTCAGAACAGGGGACCCCGCAGAGAGGGCCAGAAGATGGGTGATTGCCAGAGGCTGGGGGAGGGGGACATGGGGACTGACTATTTAATGGGTGTGGAGATTCTTTTTGAGGTGATGAAAATGTTCTCAATTAGATAGAGATGGTGTTTGTACAACACCGAGAATGTACTGCTTGCCACTGAAGTGTTTATGTTTAAATGGTTAGTTTCATGTTACATGGATTTTAGTTCAATTAAAATACACAGGGAGAATATCACTCAGCATCAGGGAAATACAAATCAAAACCACAATGAGATACCACCTCAC